TTTTGAAAGCTTTAAGCACAAAACGATGGTAAATGTTTGAGACAAATATCTTTAGCTAATTTAGGCATTAGGCAATATACACATATATCTGATATTATATGGTACCCCACTAATGTATGTACACCTTGGGTGTTTTTGTGTATCATGTTGAGGAACTGGTATCTATAAGTTTTGTGTAAAATATTTTTTAAATGTTTAAAAGCATGTTGAATTGTGAGGGAAATGAATTGTATTTAAGTACAGAGCTGGTGTGTAGTTCAGTGATGGTCTGTGCCTCGTGCGTGAGGCTCTGGGTTCAAACCCCAGCACCCAATGGAAAAAAGGGGGAAAAGAAATAAAGGTATCAAATATAAAGAAACAAGTTTGTGATCTAATATATCCGTACTGCTCCATTAAAACACTAAAGATGCACTGCAGGTCTCATAACTACTGTAAGGTCCTAGTGGAGGTAAACATTGACAACATTTTGAGCTCTCTGCAACAAATGTATTGGATTCCACTGTGATGCAGTCACAGGTTCAGGGGACTTTACTTTCTGTGTTGTGCAGCTCACATTTGTGATTGCAGGAAGAGCTAAATTCCAGTTAGGTGTAGATTTTCCCATCCAAGTTCACAGTCTCCTGAATTCTTCGAAAGAACCCTTGGTGAACCACATGCTACAGTACCATTTGCTTTACAATACACCAGTCTCTAGTGCAGAGTCCGGGCTGTTCTTCATCCTGTTTTAATGGTCACTTTGGGATTGCATTGAATATATATTATATATTATAATATATATATATATAAAATTTTTAAAAACACATCTTTATCATAATTTGATAAAAAATTTTTGAGCAGTGTTTCCCTAATGAGCTCGGGGTGGCCTTGAACTCACTATGTAATCTAGGCTTGCCTTGAATTTGTGGCAGTCCTCCTGCCTCAGCCTCCTGAGTGCTGGGATTACAGGTGTGCACCACCATACCTGGCCCCTTTTTAATCATAATTTAAATAAAGATGTCTTTATAACATTTGTATATTTCTGTCTGTTTCGATCTTTTATTCTCTCTATTTTACATTTTTCTACAGAGTTCTAAAATATTTGTTAGATTTATACCTAGATACTTGATTTTTGATGCAATTGTAAATGGTGCCTTTAACATTTATTTCACTTTCTGTTGTTAATTTTGAATCTGGTCACTTGCTAGACTTATTCTACACACATAATCATACCTTCCCCCCGTCCACACACACACAGACAGGGTCTTGCTGTGTAGTTCAGGCTGGCCTTGAACTCACTCTGTAATCCAGACTGACTTTGAACTTCAGTGATCCTTCTGCCACAGCCTCCCTGGTGCTGGGATTACAGGAGCACCATAGCACCATTTGTGAATAATGAGTTCTGTCTCTTCTTTTCAAGACATATACCTTTTATCTATCTTCACTACTCTATTTCAAACCTCCAGTACATTGTGAAAGACTGGTAATAGTCATAGCATTCTCCATTGTTGATGTCTGAATTCCAAAGATTTTCAAAGCTAGCTGTAGCCATGCATACCTATGGTCCCAACACTTGGGAGGCTGAGGCAGCAGAATGGTGAGTTCAAGGCCAATCTGAATTATATAGTGAGCCTGTCTCAAGAAACAAAAGGAGATTTTCCAGTTTTTACCATTAAGTACGATATTTGGGATTGGTCTCATAGATAATTACACTTTTATCAGATGAAGGAAATTGTCTGTTCCTAGTTTGCCAATTATTTTTATCATGGATGAATGTTGGATTTTATCAACTACCTTTTCTGCATCCACGAAGATAATTATGCTTTTTCTCCTTAATCTGTTCATGCAGTAAACTTCATTGATTGAATTTTCTAATTGAACCAACCTTTGAATAGTGGATCTCAATTTTTATCACCAGAATCATAAACAAAGTCCAGATCATCTGGGTGTGGTGGTGCATACTTGTAATCCCAGCACTCAGGCTAAAGCAGGAGAATTACCATGAGTTCAAGGCCAGCCTAGACTACATAGTGAGTTCAAGACCAGCCTGTACTAAAACTGAAAAAAAAAGTCTAGATCAAATTGTGGCAAATGTTATTTTATTTTATTTTTTTGAGATAAGATCTTGCTATGTAGTGCAGGCTGGCCTTGAACTCGTTTTGTAGCCTAGGCTGGTCTTGAACTTGCAGCGATCCTCCTGCATCAGCCTCCCCACGGCAAACGTTATTTTAAAAGGCTATGAATATTTAAAGAGTGTAGAGACTAATACTGTTCTAACACTTGTGCCCTTTTCTTTTTGATTTATATTTTACTAAACTACAAGAAATAAAACAATACGGGTGAGCCAGTGTCCCCTTTCTCTCCCTGAACTCAGAGTCCAGAGTGCTGACCTTTACACCATGGAGCCTCACATCTTTCCCCCACTTTTCAGTTTCATTCCCTTCCTTTCATCTCTGAGGAACTTTCCTCAAATTCTAATCTGTATGTGTCATAATTTCATCTTTAAGCTTAATTGCTTTAAAGAATAGGTAGTATATGCACATGGTACAAAATTCAAAAGGAACTTTTCATGTGTGGTGGCCCAAACACCTGTAATCCCAGCACATGGAGGCTGAAGCAGGAGGATTGCTACGAGACGGAGGCCAGCCTGGAATACTTAGTGAATTCAAGGCCAGCCTGAACTATGTTGTGAGCCTCTGTCTCAAGGGGAAAAAATACAAATTTTATAGGAACAAAAGTTCTACTTCTGCTTCTGTCTACTCATTTTCCTGCTTCAGAACAACCACCAACCCAACACTGTCTTTAATGAGTTCTTTTAGAGCTCTCTGACTTGTGTGCAGGTGCATATTTGCCCTTAGTCTCTCCTCACCCTCAACAGACCGTGCATGGTCTTTGGCACTGTTCTCTAACTAACGGTTCATTTAGTAACATGTGTTGGGTATCAGTCAGTGCTGAAGAGTGTTACATTAGATTGTGTTTCCTGGTGGTTAGTTTATATTTATTTATTTGTTTGTTTGTTTATTTATTTATTTATTTTTGGTCTGACAGGAGATTTTATTAGGGAAGGCAGGTTAGGAAGAGAGAGAGAGAAGAAGAGAGAGACAGGAGAGAGAAGGAGAGCTGTTTTATTTTATTTTGGGGGATCGAACCCAAGGCCTTGAGCACACTAAGCTCTTGCCTTACCCCTGAGCTACACTTCTACCCCTGCTGTATGTTATTTTATTCGCATTCTTTTTTTTTTTTTTTTTTGTACCAGGCATTGAATTTGGGTCCTTGCCCTTGCAAGGCAGGCCACCGAACCGCTGAGCTAAATCCCCGGCCCCTGTGTGCTATTTTATTTAGCTGATTTCCTATGGGTGTGGTTTCAAGCTGTTTGTACTCTTTTGCTGTCGCAAAGGGAGCTGCAATGAATAATCTTATATATGATTTTTGAGAACGTGTGAAGCGCAATTGCTAGTATAAAATTTTGAGAAGCCAAATAGTCTCCATAGGGGAGTATTACTTTCTGTTCCTACCAACAATATATAAAATTGCCAGTTTCCCCCCCTTATTCCTTACAGTGCAGTGTTTTCAAATGTTTCAATTGTCATCTGTCCAACGGTTAAAAAGTTCTATTTTATTATGGTTTTATTTTGCTTTCATTTTTTTAAAGTGAGGTTGAAAAAAAAAAACGAGGTTGAGGTCTCTTTATGTTTTTAAAGGCCCTCTATTGTTTTCTTTGCGTTATCTCTTGTCTTCTGCCAGAAACTATAGGATATGCATTTCTTACTGATTTGGAAGAGTTTTACACGCATACAGAGATTAGCTCTTTTTTTGGGGGGGGTACCGGGGATCAAACTCGGGTCCTTATACTTGCAAGGCAGGCAGGGAACCACTGAGCTAAATTCCCAGCCCACAGAGATTAGCTCTTTACCTGTGCCATATACTGAAAATATACTGGAAAATAATGATTGATTTGATTTATTTTCACCCTACAGTACTATTTTTCTGAAACCTTCAAATTTTTTATTTCATGGCTTCTAGGTTTTGTGTCATGTTTCAAAAGCCTTTCCTGAGTCCAAGCTTTAAAAAACATTTTCCATCTCTTTTTCTACTACTATAAGGTTATTTTTTTATCCATCTGAAATTTTCTTTTATGTAAGAAGCAGGATAAGAACCCCACTTACTTTTTTCCTGCATAGCTCCTTGAACCACCTTTCCCAAGGGGAGTTTGTTTTTAAAATATGAAACAGAATATTTTAGATGAGAAAAAAGAACAAGAAAGAATATCATAAAGTCCAGCAAAATAACACATTTTTATTAACTGACTGACGTTCCTCAGTAATACATTTTACTTGCCCCTGATTTAAATGTATTTTTAAATACGTATTCAGGAAAATTCAACTTTTCCTTGTTCCCTAGTTCTGAGTTTAGACAATGCACCGTTGTATGAACAGCCACTTTACCCAAGAGGACCGCCCATGGCCTTTATGTACAGAAAGCCCGACTTGCAGTGGTTTGCCTTACAGGTTTTCATCGTGATGGTAATGCACAGGCAATACATGCGCAGTAGAAACTGCTTCACATTTTCAGTATGGATCTTTTCCTGGCTACTGATATGCGAGCCGGTCCTATCTCCAGATGTCCTGCAGTGGTGCGGCTTGAGCCAGAGCTCCCAGCCAGCCCACGTGATCATAAGAAAAACCGGCGCCCTACAACGTTGCTGAGCTGGGGTGTTAGCAGATGAGGTGTTTTAAATGCATTTTCACTCTGATATTTTCACCTCACAATGGGTTGATGGGATGTAGCTCTCCCATAAGCCAAGGAACATCTGTCTTCTCTGCCTTGTGCTCTGCAAGTATATCCTCCCCCACTGTGCCCTCCACACACTGCTCTGTTTCCCACCCACACCCACACACTTAAAATTCTTTTTTTTTTTCTCATTGAGTTTATTGGTACATTTTAGGCATACAGTACAGTTACATTCATCATTGGGATCTTGTACCTTTACATGACAGGTCTTGGTTCGCATTTTTTCCCTTGTCCCTGCCCTCCCTTTACCCCTTCCTTCCCTCCCCATTTACAAACACTTAAAATTCTTGGGACGACCCTCCTGGTAGGTGGGACCCTCCTGGTAGATGCTAACGTTTCCCCCGGAGATCCTGATTTGAGCCAGGTGAGAACCATTGCCCAAGGGTAATGCTCATACCTGGCAGGAACTTGTTTTGCACCCTGGAGACTTCTCAGAGCTCTGAGCACCCGGGACCTCAGACTAGCAATGCTGACAGCCTTTCCTGAGTGCTCACCACTGACAGGTACCCTTGCTGAGCTCATTTGCATTTCATGTGCCATCTCTCACTCTTCACAACAGTTGCACAGGGTAAATCCATCATCCCTTTTTGAAACTGAAGTTAGAGATTGGGTACTTTGCCTAAGATAGACAGCCAGGGCACAGTGTAGCCAAGACATAGGCCCTCGCAAGCCCATTGCTCCTTAGCCTGCTATCTACTGCCTTCTCTAAAAGGGGTGGTAACCCACCTCTGCCACCCCATCCTTCAATGTGATGATCATCCACGCTGGCTCTCACAGCCTCAGAAGATTCCCAGCACAACTTCTCACTTGGAATGTAGATGCCCCTAAATCGGGGATGATTTGGGGGGGTGTGCAGGGCAGAAAGCAGAGCAAGCCCAGCTACTGGGGTGGGCAGGATAATGCTTGGGCAGGGTGTGGCTCTCCCAAGACCTCTACCTGTTTCTCTCTGCTGATAACATCTTTCCTCCCTCTGCGCTGGATGGAGCCTCCTCTGTTTCTCTTCATCTGATCTCCTGTTTCCTCCTCTGGCTCTGGCGTTCCTGGCTCCTCTGACTACCTCTTCTTAAGTCTCCACCTCTTCCCTGTCTCACCTCAGCTTGGTAAGGAAACAAGGGTTCTGGGTCTGGACAAGGGAGAGTATCTCCCAGTTCTGGTGAATGGGCTGTGGGAGGGGTGGACTAGGGAAGAGTTCCATAAGTGGTTTTAAAATACCCTGAAAAGCATGGTGGCTCATGCCTGTAATCCTAGCACTCTGGGAGTCTGAGGCAGGAGAATGGCAAGATCACGCCCAGCCTGGGCGACTTAACTTAGCAAGACCCTGTCTTAAAATGAAACATAAAAAGAGCTGGTGATGCAGCTCAGTGGGAAGGTCCTGGGTTCAGACCTCAGTACCATGAATAAATAAACCTAGAGTTCTCTACCAGAAGGCACTACGACTGCCTAGCTGGGAATCTGGAAATGGCAGGTGTTTTTTGTTTTTTGTTTTCAGTTGAATTATAGTGTACATACAGGAAGGTGTATGGATTATAATCTTGATTTTTCTCAAGATGAATGCATATGCTCATGTAACCAGCACCAGATCAAGAATTTCAGGGCCGGAGATTTAGCTCAGTGGTGCCACCGCCTGTCTCGCCAGTGCAAGTGCAAGGTCCCAAGTTTGGTCTCTGGTACCAAAAAAACAAAAAGAAATACATGGTTCCCAGAATCTCAGAAGCACCTTTCAGGCCCTCTTCAAGTTGCCACCCCTGGAGTTGGTGAACTGAGGGGAGTGAGCATCTGTTGTAGTTGTTGTCGCAGTGACTTCTTCTGCTGATATTTAATGGGCAGGGTCTTTGGATGCTAAATGTCCCCTGAGACGTAGGCTAGTCCTGCAGCATAAAGAATTGTCCCACCCAGATGTCCAGTCGTGAAACACTGTGGGACAGGTCTGAGCAGTGATACCCTGCAACATGGCAAAGGCCTAGGGTCAGGGTGCAGCTGTGTCAGTAGATCAGAGGGAGGAGGGGTCTTCCCACAATGTGCCGCTGTCACCACCCCCAGGCCTCCGGAATGCTCCCCGCTGCTGGGCCGTGATCCAGCCCCTGCTGTGTGCTGTGTACATGCCCAAGTGCGAGAATGACCGGGTGGAGCTGCCCAGCCGAACACTCTGCCAGGCCACTCGAGGCCCCTGTGCCATTGTAGAGCGGGAGAGGGGCTGGCCCGACTTCCTGCGCTGTACCCCTGACCACTTCCCTGAAGGCTGCCCGGTGAGTCAGACCTCTGAGGGCACGATCTGGGCTGTTTGACCTGGCATGGGCACAGTTCAGCAGGATGCAGGGGAGACCCTGTGTCTACAGCCATGGGATCCACAAAGCACAAATCCAAGCTGCAACTCTCCAGCCAGACCAATCTATCAAGGTTTCTCGTTGATCCAAGATACATGCTTAGCAATTGGGCATGGTGGTGCACACCTGTAATCCCAGCACTAAGGAGGCTGAGGCAGCAGGCTCACCCCAAATTCAAGGCCAGCCTGGGCTATATAGTGAGTTCAGTGCCAGCATGAACTACATAGTAGGACCCTGTCTCAAAAAACACAAGAAACAAAAACAAACAAACAAAAAAAAAGATAACACATTCAGCAAATACTTGAGTCCCTACTCTGCTAGATGTTGGGGTCATACAAAAGTCATAGATAACGTTTATATCCTCGGGAGTTTATCATATATGTAAGGGTCAAAATGTGCACATAGCAGAACTGAAGCCACCAATTCAAGGGTATGGATCTAGTCTGGGTGGGAATGGAGAGATCTGAAATGATAATAATGACAGTAATAATACTAATTATTATCATTGTTCAGGCCTGAGATTTAGCTCCGTGGCACCGTGCCTGTCTTGAAAGTGCCAGGTCCTAAGTTCCCAGTACCCCTCCTCAAAAAGACAAGATTCCAAAAGGGATCTGTGACTAAAATAGTTCTTATCATTT